TCGCGATCCTACAGGGCCTCCACTGTCGATTCGTGTATCTGAACAACGGTAGGATAGAGCCGAGGACGCCCGACGTGAAAAAAAAATCAACAACGGTAGACGTTCCCCGTTAGGCCCAAGGCCTACTGTCCCGCGGCGTTCCCAAGTGGATGCGGGTTCTCGCGGGAGCGTGACGCGAGACCCGCTATTCACTTAAAGATAGTAAGGGAAAAAGGCGATGAGGGTGCGCCATGGAGCTGACGGACATCGCTGAACAACACGCCAGGTTCATACCGATAGTAGTGACGACAATCGAATGGCCCCATTTCTTTTTTGTTTTTGCTGATCCCACTCATCTGAAGTAAAAGTAAAGGTACCGACTGACCAGCCTCAGTTCGCGGACTCATCAACTGTTGAAACACGACCTCATCTTTTTCCTGAGCCTTTCAGTCACCTTTCAGTGGCTTCACTCTTTTGAATCTTTTCCCTTGTTTCTCTCCCACTGTTGTTCTTCCCTTTCTCGGCCCGTTCTTATATTTACCTGTTCCTCTGTCGATGCAGGTGCTGATAAACTTGGTGGGCAATGCCCTGAAATTCACAAATGAAGGTCATGTCTTCATCTGTATGCGCACAGCAACTCCAGAAGACCTCGTTGACTCAGGCGATGGCTTGGAAGACACTGGAACTGGGGGTTCCCGGAAGAGTGATGGCGCGGTATTACCCTCCTCTCCAAGGCTGACAATTGTCGTGTCAAAGGACTCCATAACAAATCCTGATAAGGATGCTTTGCCTGGCAAGCCTGCTAACCTGAGATCAGGGGTAAGAGGAGTTGAGGGTGTAGATTTGGAGAAGCCTAGAGCATTTGACACGCTAAGCAAGAGGGAAGTTGCAACAGCAGAGAATAGCTACGAGAATTTGTTGAAATGGGTGAGGCGTGAAGCCTCTTTTCTGGGTGATGACAAACGGCTCCACAATGATGACAGCGAAGTTGGGCGGCGAAAGTCAGACGGGGATCACGCTGGAGGTCGCATGCTTCATCTTGTTGTCACAGTGGAGGACACAGGAATCGGTATGTAATTGTACTACCTACATTTGAAGATAGCAAGTGTATTCAATGTTTATTCCATTGATTATCTAGTATCTACCCATATTGAAATAAAGTCCCATGTCCTTCGGGACATCCGTTAAAATTGGAATGGCCCCTGCTCAAGGATGGCATGCATAAATTGAGAAATGGTCCAAATTTGTAAGGTAAGAAGAAAAGAAGGGAAAAAAGAAATCAAGTCCCAAACACCTATGATGTAATATGGTTAACCCGATTAACATAACAAGAAAGCATATTGGTGCACAAAGCCACTTTGAAGCCGGGATGGTCCCCGGATGGACCGGGGCCCCCTCCCTCGACCAGGAGCCTCACGGTTGGGCCGTCCAGTGGGCCGTGCCGGTTCTCTCCCGGTCGCCCTCAGGGCATTTTCGCTGGGGGCCGATTGTTTTTTACACCACTGGAGAATTCGACCATTTCTCCAGCTTATGGCGCACTTGGGAAACTGGGTCCTGGAGGCCCGTCTTTTTGGTGCCGCCGCTCGTCACAGATCAGTGGCCAAAGATCGGCTGCTTCCTTGAATCCGTTTGGGTGGGAATAGAGCTGCGTTCGCGGCTTTCCAACTGCACGTCGCTGGAGAACGCATCGCGTGTCCAACCCCCGTTGACCCACACCAGACGAGACCGCCCCTCCTCACGTTGCAGCTGCGCCATCACGTCCGCCAGCCAGCCGTGCCATTGCGCCCTCTGTGACTTTGGGACTTGACGACATTGGATCCAGACTCATTGGGATTCAGACATTTGACGAGGGATTATTTGGGGCCTGTGCCGAAGACTTGGTGTTGACGACATTCCCATCTTCCCCTCTTCTTCGTCTAACCCCCCTCTTCTTTGTCTGTGTATGATTGGGGACTGGCGCATTCTTCCTGTGTGAGCGCCAGGCCCCTTCACACCATGGAATGATGATGATGTATGTTTGGGGCTACATTGCAACATTGCTTGTTCGGATCATTGGTATCTAAGTCTTCCGCTACGCTATCTTGTACTTTGTGAGAGAGGTCGGCTCTTGTTCTGGTCTGCACCATTACGGCATGCAACAGTTTAGTATTGGAGCGGACCTCTCAATCAGAGGACCCGCTCAATCAAGTAGCCAGCTTGCTTGATCTATTGATTGTTTATTAGTAAATCAAGTAGGACTTCGTCAAATCTCTGAAAAAAAAAGTCTTTCTCGTGCGAGGATTTAGTTCCTCGGCAGTGTCTGAAAGTGCCGTGCCCGCCCTAAGCGAAGGCGGGCCTGCAAATATGTGCCAATGCCTGTTTATAGGGCTATGAGACCAGGCTGAGGGGCCCAAGCAGAGCCTGTTGTAAACCCCATGTGGGCATGGATCTTCGACGAGGCCTTGTTACGAGTTGGCTCCTTGGCATGCCCTGTAGGGCCCTATCAGCAAGCATGAGCCCGCGCTAAGTGAAGGCGGGCCCCCTGAATTTCAATTTGGCCTGAGTTCGTCAAATTTGGCCAAGGTTGGTGGGCGCCAGACAGTTGCCATGCGCCAGTTGGTTACATCCTCCATACTCGTGAGAAACAGAAATAATCCTTGAACCTTCTAGGCTCTTCCAGCAGCACAGGCGAAGCAGGGAGAACCTCACGTTTACTCCTGTGTGGTTGGGCAGGCTCAACCAATTCGGTCCCAGGCCACTGTCTGAATGGACCTGGGCGCAGACACTTTGGCCTGATTTGAAGCTACTGGAAATACACGAGGCCCAGCCAGGGAGCAGACTGGGCGAGCACTTTCCATAAAGGAAAGAGCTCGCCACTGGTGGGGGCATTCGGGCACTAGGCAGTGCAAGCGGCAGTGCTGCTTGAGCGTGCGCTCATGGGCTGTGCGCTGTGCACTAGCGCTAGTTGCCAGGCGGTGCCCACGGGCGCTGGAAGAAGGCAGGGCGCTGCTGAGGGCAGCGCCATAGCCAGCCCTACATAGCCAGGGCTTGGCTTGGACAGTCAGTGGAGGTGGTGGTGGTGTTCGTGCACGAGGGAGAAGACGTGGGAGGAAGACAAGGGCAGGGAGAGACAGGGAGAGATGAGGATGATGATGTGAGGGCTCATACCTGGTATTGGCGATGGTCTGCATCTTCAAGTTCGTGGGTGGCTGCTGACGTCAACAGTTGCATTGTCAATTCGTCGGCAGGAAGTAGCTGTGTAGGGAGTAGCCTGGGCGCCGAGCGCCAAGTAGGGAGAGAGGGCCTGGATACGTATGTTGGTGGGGACGAGAGTAAAGCTCTCATTGACATTCGGCTTCAGTGTTTCGATTCTCCATTGGTGTAATATTGGTGCAATGCTGCTTTCTGGACACTGTGGGACTTTCTTGCTTTCAATGTGATTGCGCTATCTGGTTTCTGTCATCTCGCTATCTCTCATTTTCCTTGCACTCGCAACAAATATCTGAAAATTTATTCAAAAATAGCATTTCGTTTTATCTGAAAATTTCTGATATTAGCATTTCGTTTTCACTCAACAAATATCTGAAAATTTCTGATGGTAGCATTTCGTTTCTCTGATATTAGCATCCGAAATTTCAGATATTTGCATACATAGCCGAAAATTTCTGATGTTAGCATTTCGTTTTCTAGGCATATTAGGATAACAATAGAGGTGGTCATATTCTCGGAAACCGGATTTATTCTTTTCTGAAAATCGAATCTCCATTCTATCTCGCAATTTTTTTTTCTTTTTTTGAAAACCGAAATCTTGCGAAGCCTAGCAGCATTCGTTTTTAGGCATATTAGGAGGTGGTCATATTCTCAGAAACTGGATTTAGTTATTTTCTGAAAATCGCATCTCTAGATTCTCTACTGTATTTCGCACAAATTTTTTTCAAGATCGCATTTTTTTTGAAAGCCGAAACTTTGTGGAACCTCGCCTAGATCTCGCTCATAGTACTCCTCTGAAGTGCCTCGCTCATAGCAGATCGACAGATATTCAAAAAAAAAAAAAAAGAGGGGGAATGATCCTCTTCTTTTATTTTATTTTATTTTATTTTGTTGATTAGGACCGGGAGGAAAGTATAGCTTGGTTGGTTACCTATCTGCGTTTTCCCTCCGACCCAACCCTTTGCCTGCATTCCCGGTTTGGTACAGTGCCATGTCAGCAGTGCCACATCACAGTGCCATGTCAGCAGTGCCACGTCAGCAGTGCCACATCAGCAGCAATGTCAGCAGTAAAATGTCAGCAACAGTGCCACACCAGCAGTGCCACACCAGAACTGCCACATCAGCAGTACCACGTCAGCAGTGCCATGTCAGCAGTGCCATGTCAGCAGTGCCATGTCAGCAGTGCCATGTCAGCAGTGCCACGTCAGCAACAGAGCCACGTCAGCAGTACCACATCAGCAGTGCCCTGCCACCGTGACGGTCTCAGTTCTGGGCATGCCAGGCCAACTGGCCAATGAGTCCATTGCCGAGTACCGACAGCGGTTCGAAGCTCCGCTCGCACTGATTGAGGCTGAGGAACAGCGTCAGGCGGCAGCCAAGGCTGCCCGCCTACAAGCTGAAGCGGCGGCAGCAGCTGAAAAACAGCGGCTTCAGGCCGAAGCAGACGCAGATACCCAGGCACGCCGCAAAGAGGCCCAGGATCTGCTACAGCGGCATGAAGCCACCAGCATCGAAAAGCTCAAGTTCTGGCATTTTGAACCATTCGAGCACCACGAAGACGCGACACCGGAGGAGCAGCACAAGGAGTTTCTTGCCAAACTCTTGACCGGGTTGGTTTACAGTTGTAACCACCTACAGTCCGAGCTGGCCAATCTCTGACGGGCGGTGCGAAACCACAAGGATCTGCACGAGAATGCTACACAGGCATCGGATTCCCGTGTACAGGACTTAGAGCAAATTGCACCAAGACCGGATGCTGGCGAGTCCAGCAGTGCATCCTCTACCCGCCAATTGGAGGAACGGGTTGACCACGTAGTCGCAATGCTCGGCGACATCAGCACCTTCGCCGCACCAGCCACCATCAGCAAGCAGCAGGACACCTTGAAGACCGAGGTTCAGCAACTGCACCGGCTGCCCAACAAGGATGGCAACACCAATGCGCAGCACTACAAGATGCCGACATTCCGAATCAAAAAGTTCGATGATTATACGCATCAAGACCCGGTCCCCTGGTGGGAGGGCTTTACGATACAACTTCGGATTCTTTTCGTCCCCGAGCACTCGTACATCGGCGCATTGTTCCTCAACTCAAAGGGCAGATGCCAAATCTGGCTCAGCCACCTGGCAACCATTCACGGCGTCCAGGTCGCTGATCTACTTGAGAAAATCTCTTGGGAAGAGTTGACGAAGCTATGGAAGAAGCGGTTCATCGTGGACGACGCCCCGACGCTCGCCATCAACCGCCTCTTCGCCATGACCCAAGGCAACACATTGACACGCGACCGGCGCACGAAATGGCAAAAGATCGTTGCAACGCCCGATCTCGAGTTGCCATTTTTGCATCTGCGCCAGGAATGCTACAACCGGTCATGTGCCGCCTTGAGCCTCGCACTTGGTGATCACAAGCAATACATGACCTTCGTCGAAATCATTGACAAGGCAAGGGAGATCATCAAGACCAATTGGGCGGCTGCACACGAGAAGTCAGCGTGGCAGCCAACCTATGTGGAGAAAGGAAAATTTGGTCCGTGACCGCAGCATGTCGCTGCCAAGCATCACGTGAGGGAAATCAGGTGGCCGCTGTCCAGCCGCGAAGTAACAACAACTCCCGAGGAAAAGGGAAGGCGAAAACCGCATTGTCGGTCGGAAACGGACAGCCAACACCATGGGTCAAGTTTCACTTGACCGAGGGCGAATACAAGTGGCGCGGCCGGTATGGCTGCTGCTATTGGTGCAACAACACCAAGCACAAGACCTCCCAATGCCCGAATCAAGGCAAGGAGGATGTTTGGCCTCGCATCAACTCGGGAAACTGAGTTGCGCGGGAGGTGAGGCGACTCCACCTCTCACTCTGCCAGATTCGGCCGCCTTGCTAGCGGCCTCCTACACATCTGGGGAGGATGCGAATGTCGCAAGTCCTCGGTTCACGTACGAGGATTATGTTGTCCACTTGGTCCCACCGTTGGACCAACCACTCCACGTCCAACAATCCACCGCATGCACGGTTTCACCACCATCGGCAACGGATTCGGCAGCTTCGCCGCCAACTATCGTCAGGGATTCGACGTCATGGTTAAGACTTGAAGAGCTCGACCCGTTGACGTTTGCGGACTTCCAATGGATGCCCCTTCCCCCGTCCAGTCGATTGCTGAAACCGCATTGCAACGTGCTCATGGCACGATTCTGGGATTACTTACACACTGCAGTACCAGCTTCGTTGATGGACGCCGGAGTAGAGGTTGTCGGCCTTCACGACTACATTGCGAAGATCGACCGCGAGTTCAAGACACAACGGTACGACGACATCGACGCACCATTGTTGTACATACGCATTCAGATCGGAGAGGCGACCTACAACGCTTTGATCGATTGCGGAGCTACTCGTAACTACATGAGCCAAGACTTTATGGTACGCGCTGGCCTTGGGCCACGCGTTCGAAGGAAGTCGCAGCCCACGCAAGTCACGTTGGATGACGGTCACACGCACAAGTCAATCGACCCGGTGAACTTCTACTGCCGCACCGTTCACGTTCGAGATCGGAACGAAGTACTAGTCCCATGCACGGTGCCTCCTCCTCACCCTTCAATCAACTGCCATGTGGTGTTCCCCGCAAGAATTCGAGTTTCCATCGTCAAGGATGACATTGAGGAGATGGGGGTTGTGTTTTCTCCATGCCCTCCAGCCCCATGACATTCCATCAACGAACTCATCACCGGACCCACGCATCACCGAGCTTCTCGACGCCTATGGCGACGTGTTCGAATCCCCGCACGGAGTAGTACCGGATCGGCCCATCCTCCACGAGATCATCCTCGAGGCCGGGGCCGTACCTCCGCGTGGTTGCATCTACCGCACGAGCGAGGAAGAGTTAAGTGTGCTACGGGCACAACTCGACGACCTTCTCGAGAAAGGCTGGATTCGGCCTATTAACTCTTCGCCATACGGTGCTCCCGTTCTCTTCGTCCGGAAGAAGAACAAGGATTTGCGGTTGTGCATAGATTATCGCAAGCTCAATGCGCAAACCATCAAGAACGTCGACCCTCTTCCGCGCATCGACGACCTCCTCGAACGGCTGGGCGGCGCCAAGTTTTTCTCCAAGCTTGACCTCAAATCGGGATATCACCCAACTCGAGATCCGGCAGGAGGACCGGTACAAGACCGCGTTTAAGACACGATATGGGCATTTCGAATGGCTGGTTATGCCTTTTGGCCTTACGAATGCCCCGGCCACATTCCAAGCGGCTATGACAATGGAGTTCCGACACATGCTGGATAGATTCGTACTCATCTACCTCGACGACATCTTGGTATACAGCCGGAGTTTGGACAAGCATGTGGAGCACTTGCGCACTGTTTTGGAGCGGCTATGGTTTGGACGAGCATGTGGAGCACCTGCGCACTGTTTTGGAGCGGCTACGACAAGCAAGTACAAAGCCAACCGCGACAAATGCAAATTCGCGCAGCAAGAGCTGGAGTACTTGGGACATTATGTGACGCCGCAAGGCATCCGTCGGCTTGCGGAGAAAATCGAGGCCATCCGCATATGGCCCGAGCCCCACCAACACCACGGACATTCGCTCATTCATGAGGTTGGTGGGCTACTATCAATGCTTCATCACCGGGTACTCAAGGATTGTCGCACCTAAGACGAGATTACAATCGCCAAAGGTGCCATTCGTATTCGATGACGATGCACGCCGATCATTCCAAGCACTCAAGACGGCAATGCTCATGGCACCCGTCCTTAGCATCTACGACCCCACCCTGCGAACGAGAGTGACAAATGACGCTTCCGGCTATGGCATTAGGGCAGTCTTGGAACAACACAACGACGACGACGACTGGCACCCCGTGGAGTATTTCAGCCACAAAGTACCTCCCATCAATTCACTTGATGAAGCAAGGAAGGAGTTGCCCGCGTTCGTGATGGCTCTCAAGCGATGGTGGCACTTCCTCCTTGGGCGTCGTAGGTTCACATGGGTCACGGACAACAACCCATTGACCTACTACAAGACGCAGGATATGGTGAGCAGCACGATTGGACGATGGATGTACTTCATCGACCAATTTGACTTCACACTAAAACATCTCGCCGGCCTCTCCGATCGCGCAACAGATGCACTCTCGCGAAGACCCGATCTTTGCACTGTGTCACACCATGCCTTTGCATTCGACGAGGAACTCCAACGACACTTCATCCGGGGCTATGAGTCTGACCCGGATTTCGCCCCGTTGTATGCGCAGCTATCTTTGGATCACCCACCGGCCAGCCACTATTGCATCGTCGATGGTACTTGCTCCTCCACTCGCGAGGCGAGGACTTATTGTGTGTCCCACGCGACCGTCGTCTTCGGACTCGCCTTCTCGGTGAGTACCATGACTCGCGACTCATTGGCCATTTCGAAGTCAATCGCACTATTGCACGACTTCGGCAACGATTCCGATGGCCCGACCTCATTACTGATGTCACTTGGTATTGCGACTCTTGCGAAGTTTGTCGACAAAGCAAGCCCCGCAACCGCAATCCCTACGACGAGTTGCGCCCGATGCCTATCCCACGGGAACCCGCCCTCTCCATTGCCATGGACGTCACCGGTCCGTTTCCCCGCGACCGCCTCGGGCACGACGGCATCCTCACGGTCGTTGACCATTTGAGTAAGTATGCGCGATTTCTTCCTTGCAAGTACTCCGCGACGGATCCCGAACTTGCGCGCCTCTTACACACCGACTGGATTTGCAGCCACGACGTACCGGAAGACATCGTCAGCGACCGCGGCACTCGCTTCATGTCGGCATTTTGGACTTCTCTCATGCAGGAATCCGACACGAAGATGAAACCAAGTTCGGCTCGGCATCCACAAACGGACGGGCACACGGAGCGGGCACATCAAACCGCTCAAATGATGCTTCGTACGCTCATCCGTCCGGATCAGAAGGATTGGGTTGACCGCCTCCCCGACATCGAGTTCGCCTACAACACTTCGTCACATCCGGCGATCAGCGTGACTCCATTCGAGTTGCACAACGGTGGCCAGAAAGGCCGTATCTTCGCTGATCTTCTCCTCCCACGAACAGCCGACATAGACGCTGCTTGCTCCCCCACTTTCGTCCGCAAGTACAGGGGATTGTTGGCTCAAGCCCGCGCGAACATGCAAAAGGCTCAAGTCCGTATGCAGCAGCAAGCGAATAGACGTTGCGTGCCATGTCCCATCCGCGCCGATGATCTGGTGTGGGTCTCTGTGGAAGAGTTTGCACTCGAGCAGGATGTTTCACACAAACTGCTTCCCAAGTGGTTTGGACCATGGCTCGTAACATCAGCCGCGGGCAATGAGCTCGACGGCCCCTCATTTGTGATCAACATCCCCCCGCATCTGACGGTCCATCCAGTCTTTCACACCTCAAAGCTGGCGACATATACACCAGCCAAGAGCGACGACTTCCCGGGCCGAAGAACGCAAGATCCTCCACCTATGGATGGTCATCAGGAAGTTGACCGCGTCATCACGGATCGCAAGTATGGCAGCAAGCCTCGACAGTACAAGGTTACATTCAAAGCATGCGATTCCGACGACACTCGATGGATTTCAGGAGCAGATTTGAAAACATCCGCACCGCTGATCTACGCTCACTACGAGCGACAAAGGTTAGCTAAGGAAACGTCACGACCTGCCCCTCCCACCCGGACTGTGGTCCCTCCCTCCGACAGACAGCTTCGCCCTCGCAGGTAAGCTCGGTCTTTCAAGGAGGGGGGGGTGTGGCATACTGCGCAGCCACACGGGCCTGCAGGGCCCGACCAGCATCCGCAGCCTAAAAGCCTGAAAATAAGGGCTTACAGGCCCTGTGTCTTTTCACCCTGAAAGCCTGAAAACGAGGGCCTGCAGGCCCTATGTCGTTTCAGCCTAAAACAGGGCTGTTTAGGCCCTGAGTCTTTTCAGCCTGAAACGGAGGGCCACTTTCGGGCCCTCATAAGATCGACCTGTCCTGACATCCAGGCACCAAACCAGGGTTTTAGGAACAGGCTATTTTTGGCCTGTTCCCACGACAGCCTCAGCAGGAGCTGCAGCGCCAGGCCCTGGCTCGTTTTGGCGTTGGGAAGAGCAGCCTCCTGGACTGCCCCGCCCTGCAACTGCAGGCAGTCGGAGGCAGTCAGGAGGCAGGCCGAGGTAGTACATAGGGAGTTCCCATGCACTTCACGGGTAGGCAGAAGGCAGTAGTCTTCAGGATTCGGCCGCAGCACTCTGGAGGAGCGCTGCAGGAGTAGTTTTAGCGCTAGCAGTAGTCTTCAGCGCTGGGCGCTAGTAGTTGTAGTGGTAGTCTTCAGCGCTGGGTGCTGGTAGGAGTAGAGTAGTGTTGGAGAGAGAGATGGCTGGCGGAGGCCAGGGAGACTTACTTGTGGCGCCATAGCTCCAGCTTTATTTTCGAGGTACCTGCATCAAGGCGCCAACTTCACAGGTTAGTACCGGACTGAGAGAGAGAGAGAGAGAGAGAGAGAGAGAGAGAGTTCTTCTTCCTCTTCTAAGTCCACCATCTCTTCTTCACCCTCTCGCTACCTGACTTCTCAGTATCTGTGGACTATGAGAGAGAGAGAGTTGTGACTTTGGGACACATTGGATCCAGACTCGACATTGGGATTCAGACATTTGACGAGGGATTATTTGGGGCCTGTGGCGAAGACTTGGTGTTGGCGACACCATCTTCCCCTCTTCTTCGTCTAACCCCCATCTTCTTCGTTTGTGCATGATTGGGGACTGGCGCATTCTTCCTGTGTGAGCGCCAGGCCCCTTCACACCATGGGATGATGATGATGTATGTTTGGGGCTACATTGCAACATTGATTGTTCGGATCGTTGGTATCTAAGTCTTCCGCTACACTATGTTGTACTTTGTGAGAGAGGTTGGTTCTTGTTCTGGTCTGCACCATTACGGAATGCAACAGTGGATGCTAGGCCTCGGGAGGTGTCTGTCATCGTACTCGACCAAGGAGGGGATTGGATGGCTTGTGACAACCCCGAGGACAGTCTTCCTCCAGGGGGTGTCATTCATGACCTGTTATATCCTAATCTTATCGCAAGTCGAGCCGTAGAGCGGTGTGACCCAGACCTCTCTATCCTGACCTAGACCTACACCAACCCGCACCTTTTGAGGGGTCGTAGCCACTTCTCCCTGGGCCCTATAGGGACACCCCGAATCTCGAGGACGACCCGGATACAGGAGGGGTCACAGACATACACGGTCATTGCCCCCTTGTATCACATCGTGCAGACTCTATGGGTGGCGAAGCCACCCTTCTACATCAATGCGATAACCCTCCCCCCGCTGCCTAAGATGACACCTACCTAGAAGCCCCTTCCCCAGACTCACGCCCAAGTCGACCCCTCGGCGGGAACTCAGACAGAAACCAACCCGGATCAAGCCCAGCCCACAAGCATTGTGAGATCAACCTGCAGCCTGCCCGTGGGAATCGTATATGCCTGACACCCAACCACTACCACTACTCAAGGGGGTTTAGAGAGCGGGGTCTACCGGGGACCCGTAATCGTACGATGTGGGAATGGACTCTCGTGGGTGGATCATGAGGCCGGGAAACAACCATGGTACCCAGACGCACCCGGTTCCACACAGAGCAGCCCATACGAATGAAGCGGCGCACACAGACAGGCCCACAATCCCTACAGAAGTTGTTACATCTTCGACGCCACACGGGTCCTACCGGACCCGACTTAGGGTTAGAGGGACATATAGGGCCTAAAGGCCCGACCTTGGAGGTACTACAGGCCGTAAAGGCCTTACCTTGGACCAGACCCGACGGGCAGGCCCAAACGACATTACCGTTTGGGCCTGGCGGCGCTCTTGAGGCTGCCGCCCGCCGGTTGGGGCTGAACCGTCCATCTCGACGGTTCAGGGCACGGCCAGGCCTCGCAGCATTGAGGCCGGCCTCTGCCCTACCGGTACAAAAGTACTGGTCCAGCCTCAGTGAGGCTATCGACCTACCGGCATTCTACCGGTACGGTATGGTACAGTGCAATACAGCGCTGGCGCTAAGTTTAGCGCAGGAGCAGCGAGGAGCAGCAGCGCAACATTAGCGCAGCAGCAGCGGCGACTGAGTGTACCGGCGGCCATCGCC